AACTGCTGCATTAGTAAGTGCCACAGTTTCAGCAACTGTTCCAGCAGTAGTGGCTTCAGCAGGTGGTTCACAACGGAGTCAGCCTCTCCTGCATGTGTTTCTCCCCCTGTAGGTGGTACTTGGGCAGCTCTTCTTGTAAATGACTTCATTCTTCCCCTTTGCTTACTTGGCTTGGTAGACTTGGAGGGCGGTGGAGGGTGACGTGGTAAATCATCCACGTCAGCATTAGCTCCTCCTTTTATATGCTTGTGAAGACCTAAACTAATTAATGACGATAAACACAATATTAAAAAGGTGAAATTCCTACACGTTCATGTGATTAATATGGAGAGATAATTTATTTATTCTCAAATTATCTAATGAGATAACTAAGGAAAATATGTTCCTCATATTAATACATATCTCCATAGAATTCCACTTGATGTTGTGGACTTAGAATCCCACCGAGATTCTAACAGAAAATAATGAAATTAATAATGCATTGAAAATCTAAAATGACAAATAATTTGGGACAAGAAAAACTCTCTAAAAAGACATATAATATGGGACACATGGAAAACTATTTACTATAATTGGTTATTTACATCCATCTTATAGTCAAATAGTTATTCTTCCCACCCCACGGCCAGGGCATTTAAACATAATACTTTTACAATTAATTCATTAATTACACATTAATCATAATAATAATATTTTAAGAATAATAAACATGACGGTTATGTCCACAATATAGGAATATAGAAAGCAAGAACTTGTGCTACTTATTTCCTACTTTATCTTGTTTCTTGTAACAATCGTTTTTCGTTTTTGGTATATGCAGAGATCAAGTTCCTCTTTTTCCCGCACAAGTTTGTGATTGTTCTTATTGGAGAGTAATACGTGTCAGTACCGAATTCCTTCAAGGTATTGAAGTCTAACAGCTACATACGCCGTAGCAATATCGGTCGAGTTCTTGTTCGGTTTTGAAAATATGAGGACATCGAAGAAGAAATCGAATTCACGCCCTGCAATAATCTATTAAATTAAAAGGTCAGCCAATTTTATTTTTTTCTTGCATTCATATTCCAACAGGGTTTTTTAGTAGATTTTCTTTCTTCAACCAGGTTTTCTTGAATCATCGTATTTTCTTTCATCATATTTGTGGGACTGTGTCGTTATTATATAAATGTGGGTATAAGATTATATAGTTTCTTCTAATATTTTATTAGTCAAATTAATTTTCTTGAGTTGTAAGTAGCAAAGGAACATATTCATTTTGTCTGCATAACTATGATTAAGAGGGTGTTTGGCTAAGCTTATAAGATGTTAAAAGGAGCTTATAAGATGTTTTAGAGCTTATAAGCTCTTCCAAAGTGTTTGGTAATTTTTTTTAAAAAGATCTTATTTTTTTTAAATAAGCTGTTGAAGAGCAAATAAAATCTTTTAAAAAAAGTACCTCTACCCCACCTTTTTATTTAAGATCTTATATTGAGCAAAAATAGGAAATAAGTTGATTATCCAAACACTCTAAAAATTAATCCTAAAAATAAGATGTAACAGCTTATCAACTCTTAAAACATCTTATTAGACGTAAGAGTTTATCAGCTATTTGAAATAAGCTTAGCCAAACGCCCTCTAAGTTGTGTCTATTCATTTTACTTCACCCGAGTTTTCCATTTTGGGTCATTTCAAAATAGTATCCTACAGAACATTTTGTTCTAAGTTTCTCATGTATTTCAAACCATCAATACAAATGTGGAAGAATGATTTAAATATAAATACGCAAACAATGTATTATATTGCTAAGTTTCATTCAATCAATTAGAATGGACTGGTAGACAATGTTTTCGTACAGAAGAAACAATGTTGGTGTGTGGGTATCAAACTATGCCTTAAGTACATCTGTTGGAAGTCACACCATATTGTGGAAGCCACTCCAAAGACATGTCATCTCAATGACAAAAACAAAACTCATCAAATTAATTTCACTATACATTGCAAAAATTGAAATGTTCATCAAAACTTGAAATAAATAGAATGACAGATTATGTCATTTAGCCCAACATCAATCATCTATTTTTTTGTCTTCAATTCTTTTTTCATAAAAGATATTTGTCATGGCAAATTCAATGAGACAAATATAAACAAAATTTCCATGTCATGACTAGATCATATGTATACTATCATTTCTATCTTTATGTAATTGTTTGTTTATTTACATACTTTATACTTAAGTTACTGATTGTTTCACTTTGCAGCATATTGATTTCACAATGCTACGGCATAAACAAATTAATGATCAAGAGTCGAATTCTGGTAAGTATTATTTTCCATGATTTATTTAGTAATTCAAAATATTTCTATAGAATTATGTACGGAATAGTTTCTTATCCTAACATTATTATTTCAGATGTATTACGAAAACCAAGACTAGATAGGATGACGAGAAAATATGTCGCACTAACTCCTATAAAGAGACAAGAATACATAGATAAAGTTAACAGTGCCAGGAAAATGAAGAAGGTAATCAAGTTATTGGCGGATGACACGAATCACTGTGAAGAACTTATTCCATCCTCTTCAAATATGCCCTTGAATGAAAAATGATTAGTTTTGATAGAAAACAAATATGCAAATTTAACGACTAAGTGGCTTCTTAGAGCAAAAATGATTCCTCATCAACTTTTCGGAGGTAAAAAATATCTCTATAGTTTTTAAATTACATTGAAAATACAAATTCCATTTGTTTCAACCAAATTTATTGATTCAATATTTATTTTAATAGGTCAAACCATTTATAATCCCGTATGCTCAGAGATTCATGAATTGAAAAAAGTACCTAATTGCATTCACTGCCATGCCATAAAATTTGAATAGGAGCCACCCACACTCTGTCGTGGCAATGGAAATGTTAGACTTGCTCCAATTCAAGTACCAAATGAATTGTACGATTTGTTTGTTTCTCAGTCCGAAGAGGCCATTAATTTTCGCCGAAATATCCGTAAACTAAATTCCATATTCTCCTTTACCTTATTCGGTGTGAAATTAGACAAAGAACTTTCTAGGCGTGGGGTTTACACCTTTCGAGCACAAGGCATGGTTTATCATGATCTTCCCGAACTATTTCCAAATGAAGCTGGCCCTGCTAATTTTCAGTTATATTTTGTTGAAACTGAGAAAGAGATCGAGTATAGGTTAATTTTTTTTAAAAATGCTGAATTGAAAGAAGCAATCATCAACAAAATTATGAACATTATGGATGCTAGCCCATATGCGAAAATTTTCAGAGCGTTAAAGGACTACCCTTCAATGGATGATGTTCATCTCCATATTTTAAAAGATGTGAACTTGGATCAACGAGTATATAATTCTCCAAAAGCGGAACAAGTTGCAGCTATTTGGTTAGAAGATAATATAACATCTGAATGAGATATTGTTGTTCATGCACATTCGGCCGAAGGCATAGAATAAAACATTATTACGGATGTTATGATAAGATGCAATACCCACTTGTTTTTCCAAGAGGAGATACAGGATGGCATCAAAATATTCCAAAAATAAGAACCCAAAGTATTGGTGATGCAGGCTAACCTACTGTATAAGAAGGTTCTATTTCTATTTACCTTCTCCATAATTTAAAAAATAATATCTACTCCATCTCATTTTATATATATATATATATATATATATATATATATATTGGATATTTAATAATATAGAGTGAAAACACGCAGCGCAATAACATAAAATAGAGAGGAGGAGTAGTGGAGAGGAGATAAAAATATGTTACTCACTCAATCAACACGAATATATATATATATAAACTCACTCAAGAACTTTCTTTTGATTCTCTCTAGAATACTTCTTGTTTTTTGACTTTCTCCAAATGAAAAACTACATAGCCTATTTGTAGGATTTTCCTAGCATGTATCTAAACAAATACATGAACAGATAATTAATAATATTCTTCCTCCATAGCATTATACATGAATCTCTCCAAAAGACACATTCATGTATTTTTCCACATTCATGAATTCTAGAACCTTCCATACTTTAAACTTGATTAATGAATCTAGCTTATTCATTTCCAACACGTCCCCCTAAGCTTGATTCACACATTCCAAGTTGACTACTCAACTTCTCCAACGATTCTCTCTTGAGGGGTTTCGTGAAGATATCGGCAATTTGATCTTCGGACTTCACGAACTTCACTTGAACTTCCTTCTTTGCAATGCACTCTCGGATGAAATGATATCGAGTATCAATATGTTTGCTTCGATCATGAAACACTGGATTTTTCGCTAGTGCAATCGCTGATTTGTTATCGACAAAAACTTGTGTCGAATCTTCTTGAACAAAATTGAGCTCCTTTAGTAAGCTCCTTAGCCATATTGCATGACATACACTCGATGTCGCGGCCACATATTCAGCTTCTACTTGACCTTTTCCCGTCAAAGCAGCTTGCATCTCGATAGCTAATATCTCATTGTGATTCACTAGCTTTTCATTGTGCTTCATTAACTTCTCGTTGTGATTCACTAGCTTCTCAATTTGTTCAGACAAAATCTTGAATTCAACTACGGCAGTTGATGCTAATTTATTAGCGTACGAACTTTCGATTTCAAGTTTCTTATTGCGTAGCTCTAGCTCCTTCTTTGACTCGGTTGCTTCAACTAATTGTTTTCTTTGTTCTTCAATCTCTCTTGCTTGAGCTTGTAGAGGCAACATATTATTTGACTCATTCACATTTCTAGTTGGTTGAATGAAGGTTCTCTGTTCGACAATACGAGAGATCACTTTTTGCAATTTGACATTGGTTTCTTGCAACTCCGTACATTCTGAGGTCTTTCGCTTGAGTTTCTCCTTAATTTTCCGATTATTTGCATCTTTAACCTCAAGTTCAAGGGACTTATGTTTTAACTGCTCCATTAATTCAGCTACTAGTGAGTCCTCCACTTTGTTACTTTAGTAAATGTGGTTGCTTGTACTAGAATCAAGATAACACAAGTTATCTTTTGCGTCTATCGATACCTCATAGGCCAAGAGGGATATCTCTGCAACTTCTTTTTCCATTGCTTCAACATAATGAGTCTTTTCATCATTTGACTCATTTCGACACTCCCAAGCATAGTGTCCGTATTTGTGACAATTGTAACATTCGCATATTTCTTGTCTTGACGTCGATTGAATCCTCCTCGTCCACGACCTTTTGTTGGTCGATTCTCTTTCTTCGTATCATCATTGTCGTACGAGGATTGTCCTTCACGACCTTTGCCACGACCACAACCACGTCCACGACCACGACCTCTACCTCTGCCTCGAAATCGTGCACCATCATATTTCGGTTGGTCGGCAAGGTTCGTCTTTGCTTGAAGGGCTTGTTCAACTTCGGGCCCTTTGTTTCGCCTCTTGATCTTCTCCTCATGGACTTGTAACTTGCCCAATACCCCGTTCACTTTAAGAATCTCAACATCGTTTGACACCTCAATTGCCACGACAATGTAGTCGAACTTAGGATCAAGGGATCAAAGTATTTTTTCGACCACTCTTCTCTCTTCCATTGTTTCACCATTTCTTTCAAGTTGGTTAACGATCAAAACCACCCTTGAGACGTAGTCGGAAACATCTTCGAAGTCTTTCATCTTCAAAGACTCGAACTCTCCACGAAGTGATTGGAGTCGTACCTTATTCACCTTATCAATGCCTTTGAAAGCATCGCTAAGAATATCCCACGCTTGCTTCGCCGTAGTAGCTTGAGAAATCTTCTCAAAGTTACTGTTGAGTGTAGATATTACACTCAATACGTTTACTTTACGTGGATCTTTTGTTTAGATTTAATTATATTTGTGCTTTAATTGATTGATTTTGTGTTTTATAGGTGAAAAACGAGAATTAGATGTCCATGAAGGAAAAAAGATTAAAAAGAAAGGAAAAAGTTGCAAATAAGGAAACAAATCAAATTGGAAGAAGGAATCTCGCCACAGCTTTGACAGTGTCCACCATTTCGAGAATATCTCTCTCATACGAACTCCGAATTAGGTGATTTTGACGGCATTGGAAAGCTAATTTCAAGGGCTACAATTCTTATTTACACAACATTCCGAAATTCGGACTCCAACATGGGACAAATCGACGAACAAATCCTGATGGGGAAAAGTGGCGGAACTTGATTCCTATTAGGTTTCCACTACTTCCTTATCAAGAAAAGCCTATAAAAGCAACAAGTCTCTACACCATAGGCACGAAATTTTACACCACAAAATGCGAAGAACGAAGATCAACGAAGACTCAAGCATAGTTTTTCTTATCTCTTTTATTTATTCTATTTTGTTTATCATAAGAATTACGAGTAGCTAAGCTTTTAATGTAGGATTTTGTTGGAACCCTATGTGGGGATGGTGAACCCGTTTTCTTGAGATTATGCAATTATGATTTTATGATTATTTCTTCTACTTGTTATGATTGTTAGTGCATGAACTTGATCAATTTATGTGCTTTATCTGTGATTATTGGGATTGACTCGACAGAGCTATTTTGATAATTAGACGGTAAGTATAAGAACCTTCAAGTAGTTTTCACCGGATGAGTGTGTCAATTGCATGTGGTGTCGTAGACAGACATATATCACCTTAGGTAGCCATTTACGAGACTTGTTAGTTAATGCTTTATTCATAATTTGTTTGCATAGACATATAGTGAACCGTTTATGAATAATAGACTCATAATACACGCGACAGCGGGTTATGAGTAAATTAGTGTCTCGGGTTAATAATCATGAATCATATATTTCATAATTGAGGGGTTTTGGGTGAGCAATTCTTGCATAGGGGGAAGATAAAATCCTAGGTCCGTTTTTATAGATATTTTCTCGTATTTATTTGCTTTCATAATTAATTTAATTGTTTAGTTGATTAAATTTGACAACCTTGCGTAAGGTGGATAAAAATCATAATTGTTAGAATTTGGTACTTAGGATTTGATAATTTGCGTATTCCCTATGGGATCGACATCCGACTCTCACGAGTCCACTTTTACTACTTGTTTGCGATACGTGCACTTGCGTGTTAGGTATTTAGCACCCAACAGTTACTATCATCTACACCGAGTTGGATGATGGATAGCGCTCTTTGATCTTTCACCTTGGCTTCTTTGGATGTCTTCTTTGGGCTTGGCTTAATGAAGCCAAATTCTCCGGTTCAACGTATTCTTCTTCAACGGCTTCCCAAACGTCTTGTCCACCAAGGAAAGTTTTCATTTGTAAGCTCCATCGATCATAGTTCTCTTTTGCAAGCTTTTGAAATGGGAAAGCTCCATTTGTGGTTGCCATCGATCTTTTCTATTAAGACGTGGCTCTGATACCACTTTGTTGGATCGATTTAATAATATAGAGTGAAAACACGCAGCGGAATAACTTAAAATAGAGAGGAGGAGTAGTGGAGAGGAGATAAAAATATGTTACTCACTCAATCAACACGAATATATATATAAACTCACTCAAGAACTCTCTTTTGATTCTCTCTAGAATACTTCTTGTTTTTTCACGTTCTCCAAATGAAAAACTACATAGACTATTTATAGGATTTTCCTAGCATGTATCTAAACAAATACATGAACACATAATTAATACTATTCTTCCTCCATAGCATTATACACGAATCTCTCCAAAACACACATTCATGTATTCTTCCACATTCATGAATTCTAGAACCTTCAATACTTTAAACTTGATTAATGAATCTAGCTTATTCATTTCCAACTATATATATATAATTGAATTTTATTTCACCGTTATTCAAAGAACTTGTCTATTCCAAAAACAAAATTAAAATAAATTGAGCATTATGCATAATTATATATTATATTACTCTTACCAAAAACATTACTTAGTCAAATTAATTATGGGTAATTACTTTGGTTTGTACAGATGATATAGACATCCATAATAGTTCTACAATGGCGACTTTTACCTCGGCTGATGACTTCCTTTCACAAGAACAACAAGGTACGTATATTAAATATTAAATACAAAATTATCATCACATAAAAATATTCATAACATAATTACTTATTACTTAATTCAAAAAAAATATTGATTCATTTATTCCATTATTTTTCTGTATAGGAATACGTGGTCAAAATATTAAAAAGGTCTCTTATTGGGAATACAATTTTTACAGGCTACAAATAAGAAAACTAAGACAATCGGCATTGCTTTTTGCAGGACGTCTACTACAAAAATATGTGGTTGACATTTACATAAAATTAGAGACCACAAGGTTAGATTACTGCCGACAAAGTCAAGCAAATTTGAGATCCAAGATATATAAAGAAATCATCAATAGTGTGCAAAGAGGAAAGACAAGAGGCGGTGAGGTCCGGAAAAGAATTGTTCTTCCACCATCCTTTATCGGGGGCTAAGAGACATGCGCCGCATATATCTTGATGCATTATCGTTAGTCCAAAGATTCGGAAAACCTGATTTTTTCCTTACAATGACCTGCAATCCGAATTGCAAAGAAATACAAGATAACCTGTATGATCGACCAGATTTAACAGCAAGGGTTTTCCGAGCAAAGTTGTGCAGGACTTGGAAGATCAACTATTTAAAAAAGAGATATTTGGGAAAGTGGCTGCTCATGTCCATGTAATTAAATTTTAGAAGAGGGGACTACCACATGCTCATATGCTGATAATATTGAAGTCTAAGTACAAATTTACAAGCCCAGACAACTATGATAAAATTGTAAGTGTCGAGCTACTAGATCCACAAAAATATCCTGCACTTCACAAGTTGGTTGTTAAGCATATGATGCATGGACCATGTGGGGAACTTAACAAGAAAAATTCTTGCATGGTGGATGATAAATGCAAATATCATGATCCACGTCCATACTGTGAGAATACATTACATGGAAATGATGGATATCCAATTTATATGAGGAGAAAAGATGGAATTAGTGTACAAGTTCGAAGGGCTCAATTGAATAACCAATGGGTAATACCTTTTAACCCATATCACTTGTCTAGGTACAATTGTCATATGAATATGGAGATATGTTTTGGGGTTCCAGCTGTGAAATATCTATACAAATATATATACAGAGGACATGATAGAGTGGCTGTAAACATCTCAGAAAATAGGGAGGAATCTCAAATTGATGAAATCAAAGAATTTATTTGGAGAATTTATGAATTCAATTTGAATGAAATATCTCCACCAGTGATTGATTTGCAGCTTCATCTACCTGACCAACATTTTGTGACTTATTGGGCAACTCAAGATTTAGAAAACGTTCTCAAATGGGATCATATATCTAGAACAATGCCTACCGAGTTTTTTTTTCTATGTGTACTAAAAGTGAGAAAGCAAGAAAGTATCTTTACAAAGAGTTCCCTGAACATTATGTGTGGGACAAAGAAAGTAAAAATCTTGGACAAAAAGGAAGAAAAGAGATGTCATAGGAAGACTACATGGGGCAAATCCTATGGAAAGAGAAATATATTATTTCAGATTGTTATTGAATCATGTCAGGGGACCCACATCCTTTCAAGATCTTTTAATTGTGCATAAGAGACAATGCTCTACATTCAAAGAGGCAGTCCAAAAAAGAGGATTACTAGAGTCTGATACGATTATTATTGAATGTTTAAGTGAAGCCATCTCTTTCCAAATGACACCTGAATTGTGAAGATTATTTGCCACAATATTGGTTTATTGTGCGCCAATAGATGTGCGAACTCTTTGGGACACATACTTTGAACCATTGTCCAAGGACTTCAAAGAGAACCAAGAACATCGAATGAGCTACAACATGGAAAAACTTTGGAATCATTAATTTTTTTCTTGGAGAGTATGGGGAAAAATGTGCAATCGTATGATATTCCCAATATTCCAATTCTTACTACTGATACGGGTGGAAATTTGTTAAGAGAGATACAAGATGAGATGTCAATAGAATTACCTTTTGAAGATTATGATGCTGAAAAAAAAATTGAATGTTGAACAACAAAAAGCCTTTCAAATAATTTTGGAGTGCGTAAACAAGGGCAAAGGTGGCATGTTCTTATATCATGTATTATTGGCTCATTTGAGATCTAGAAAAAAAATTGCTATTGCAACAACTACATCTGGAGTTGCAGCTGCAATAATGTCGGGCAGGAGAACATCTCATTCACGTTTTAAAATCCCAATAGATCCAAATGAGTCAACTGAATGCAATATATCCAAGCAAAGTGGAGTCGCTGAGGTGTTACGGAGAACTACTTCAATTATCTGGGATGAAGCTCCAATGGCAAAGAAATGGGCAATTGAAAATATGAATAGTTGCTTACAAGACATAATGGGAAATAATGAAGACATCGGGGGAAAAAAAAGTGAATGTCTTTGGTGGAGATTTTCGCCAAGTTTTACCAGTCGTACCAAGGGGAACAATTTTCCAAACTATATCTGCAAGCCTTGTGAAATCATTTCTATGGAACAAAATGAAAATAATATCTTTGTCCACCCACAAAGATCCAAATTTCAGCGAGTTCTTACTTAGAGTTGAAAACGGAGATGAACCAGTTGATGTCGAAGGTCACATCAAAATTCCTGAACAAATGATAATAAAGTATGACAATGACAAAGATTCAATAGAGCGTCTTATTTATGCAATTTTCCGAGCCTGAGCCAAAATGCTGAATCGTTTGCTTACATGACAACACGGGACATATTAGCAGCTAAAAATGAAGATGTTGATAAATTGAATGAAAAGTTGATTTATATATTTCCGGGAGAAGAAAGAACATTCAGGAGTTTTGATGAAGCTGTCGATGATACAAATAATAGTTACGAGGAGGAGTTTCTCAACTCTTTGACTCCAAATGGTTTGCCTCCACATAAGTTGGTATTGAAGAGAAATTGTCCAATAATTCTCATAAGGAATTTGGAGCCATCAAATGGCTTATGTAATGGCATACAAATGGTGTGTAAGAAATTTAAAGAGAATGTCATTGATGTGGAGATTGTATTTGGCCAGCACATAGAGAAGCATGCATTCATACCTAGAATACCACTTTCATCTGCTGAAAAATGAAGGCTATCCTTTCAAATTTAAGGGTAAGCAATTTCCAATTAGACTTTGCTTCGCGATGACAATAAATAAAGCGCATGGACAAACAATTCCTAATATAGGAATGTATTTGCCACAATCAGTATTCTCTCATGGCCAACTATATGTAGCTCTGTCCAGAGGAACTTCATCTGCTACAACTAAAGTTTTAATCAAGCCGGATGCTTCAAATGTTAGACACAAAATGTTGACAAAAAAATATTGCTTACAAAGAAGTCCTAAATGCAAGTATTGACAGTAATATCTTAATATATGTATTATGTATTCTTGCGATTTAACTAACGGTGTTATCTTCATCAGGACCATCATCAAATAAAAACCGCAATAAAAAAAATCGAGGTTATATAAACTATTAATTCAATTTGCTCCAATATTTCACTAATATCTTTCAAAATATTATATCTACATATATATATATACTTGCTTGTGATTGTTTAACACAATGTCTGAATTTATTTATTTAATGAATTAGTGTTTGCAATGGGACAACGGAGATACGGGCCCATCATCCATTTAAATGATAATGCCTGCAGTGATTTCAAATCTATGAAGAAGGTATTACATAATATATTTGCTTTTAACAATGTATGTTTATCACAATATAGTGGGAAAAAGGTGTTGGGAAATGTCTTTATATATGATAGAACTTTTGACACGTGCGCTCAATGTGCATGTGCAATTTGTTGATGTTAATTATATAACATTATGTCCTTGTTTATGTACCATAACTTTGAAGTGTTTTTTCTAACAATTTTTGTATTCAATTCAGCAATTTAGGAAACATTCTTAATTACAAAGATTACCACAAGTCATTAGCTGCAGAGAAATAACTTCCATAAATGGCACTTATCGAAAAACAAAGTTGCAACGCTGTTTAAACTTAATACACAAGTGTGATGATGAATTATTTTTTCTTGTAAGTTTCATTTTTTTTTTTTTTTCGAGGATAAACATATTTTATGTATTGTTTCTGGTATTGCAAATAGCAAATAGTTTTGATTTTGTTTTAAATGAGCCAATCTTAAGATGTTCAAATTAATAAAAAAATTATATGTTGCAGAATATGTCATCCTTCATATGTTGTCACAAGAAGATATTTAATATTTGTTTACTAATTAGTCAACTTTCTTCCATGAATACTTGGCATTCCGCGCTTAACTTGAACATATATTTTTGTAACAAACATTATTTTTTACGGATTATGGTTTTACGACCA